TTTCCCCAAAGAGGTTTCTCGCCTGTTGAATGGGACGGTTTCATTGCTGCCAGTGCGATCTCCATGGCGTAGTGGTGGCGGTGAACGTGCTCATGGTATTGGCATAAAGATCGCAAAGACGCTTCTGAGGAGCCAAGCGGGATTTGTGGGACGACGACGTCCGCGACGCAAGGACGATGTCGATTTGGAGAGTATCTGCAGGGAGGTAACGTTCCTGATGAATACTCGTCCGTTGGATTATGCTAACTCTGACGAGCCATCTGGCGAGTTTGTCGTGGTTACGCCTGATCAATTGGCTCGTGGATTTACTCGTAAGCGAGGTTGCGTCCTCGCTGGTGGCTCTTCTACTCTTCCTATTTCTCACCGCGTTAGAGCAGTGCGGTGTTATTTCCTGAATGAGATGTTCCGCGACATGAGGATGGCTGTCGCTCGCTCTATGGGGTACCAGAGCTTGAAGAACAAGATCCTGAAGCCTACGATTGGTGACCCAGTGCTGATCTACCATCCGGAAAAGAAGCTGAGCCCCGGATACCGTTTGGGTCATGTGAAGGATCTGCTAGATGAAGGTAGAAGGATCCGTATTGTCTTAACTGACGGTAGCGTTGTTGATCATCATCACTATAATGTTGTGCCGATTCTGCATCACCCTCAATTGTCGGGGCAGAGGGGGCGTATTGAGGATTGACGAGCCCGGTCTTGCTTTGTTCGTGCGTGCAGTCCTGTGTACGTGCGTGCCCCGCAATTGATGGTGTTTTTTCCCTGAGCCATTATATTAAATGACATTGATACGCTCAATCTCAGTTTCACAACCGTAAACTTGTCTACTCGTTGTTAATAGTACCACGAACAACCTCACAGTTAGCCTCGAAATCCAAAACTAGGCTTCTACTTCATGCGATCACAATCCTGTTGCTGCTGGTCGGTCAGGCCTGTTGGTATAAGTTTGACAAGGTGATACTTGGGGGGCGGGGGACAGAGTCTTCAAGGGCAGAAGACTTCTTCCAGATGGTAAGGCTCTAACCTTCGGATCGGTTCATGAAATCAACCAGCTGCTCAGTGATGTCGGCGTAGCTGATAGAGTCGATATCAGCAACAGGCATCTGAAAAGAATGAACTTAGTCAAGATAAGATCAATTGAGCACACCATTCTCGCCCTTTGTGAAGCAAATAGCAAGGATTATCCTTGGAGGATAAGCGTGTTGATGTGATTTCGAATTGGATACCATCCAAGGGACTGCCATCCTCCACCTCGGCCTCCAAGTTGGAGGCTCCAACAACAACGTCGATGCCCAATGATTACGACGCGGCGCACCAGTGCAACCGCAGGCTTTCTCACCAGGTTGACCGTCAACCGTTGACGAGCATCACAATGGACACCACCACAGCTATTGCCAGATACACCACTACGTAAGATGAAGATCGAAACGGAGTGGTAGATGGCGAAACCGTACGTAGTAGTAGATTCAGTGAA